CGTCATCACATTGCGTCTTACATAAACAGAATAATAATAATAATAAATGTACACATGCAGCAGCCTCTTTAGTAGTTTATAATGAATTGCTTTTTTTTCCCCTTTGGGATATGATATAAGTGTATACGAGTATATATCACAGTCGAAATTAAATTCACTGGAATTGTTAAATACGATAATTCAACTACCATCGTACGAAATTATTGTCTAGTGAAATTTTAAACAGAACAAAACTGTACTTTATTTCTATGAGATACAATAAGCATGATAGCAAAAATCGATGTTTTGATTGTAACATCATAAAAGATACTAGAGAGAGAAAAGAAACTAAAGAGAACAACAAAGTAAACAAAAAAAAATGTCAACATAGAAGAGAGAGGAGATGGCTTTTATAAGAGGTTGAGATTTTGCTTGTATTGGGTTTTAAAAATTTTGATAGACGTTTAATGAACTACGATGCAAGGAAGACAATTCGATTCGTTGATGATTCGAGGAAAGAATGAATTTAGTGATGCTGACTTAAGTCTATATATATTTGTCTCTCAATTGTTTTATCATATCACTTATGATACGATTGTCAAGTGGTAGGTGACTGAAAGAGATTTATCGATAAGAAGAGAATGTGACCAAAATAAAGCTGGAACATATAGATAAAAAGGTAGTATTTTATTCATTGAACTATTGAATCTGATTTCTGATAAGTGTTTTCGTACTAGAACACATATTTTATATAAATGTAGATTTAAATATCATGGTGAAATTCAAAACACATGACCGATTGAGATAATGTTAAAAAAAGAACTTTTTGGCTTTGAATAAAGGATAAAAGTTTCTCTTCCTAACGAAACAGTTAAAAAATGATCACATAAACAGTGTGTATAATTTCCTCTTGTGTAGTATTAAAATTTTCTGATTAAACCGTCAAAATCAGTCGATTTTAACCCATCATTTTACTGTAGTTTCAACAGATATTTTCCAAATAATGTTTCAACTATTGTGCAATCTAAAATTTCACTAACAAAAGTTTTTATACGTTTAATTATTATGTTTTATGAAATTCTGATGAATCTTCATTGCTACTGTGACATATATCACTCATCTAGAAAATTAAACAAATTTTTTACTATATATACAGACATCAGTCGAATTACTATACGCCAGACGAGAATGATTATTAAAGATTATCTATTTGCTTGTTTATTTGTTGGTTTCTTTGATAGAATACACTTTAAGTAATGTTCTCTTATTCATATAATACGTCAATCAAACTGCACTTGAATTTATGCAATCTTTTTATATAAAGAAGACAATATAATTATTTATAATATTATAAAAACATATGAAGGCAAAAATCAGAGAAATTTAAAAGGAAAATACGCTAATCATATGTATTAGCACCGTATGAACTCTCTTTTATTAGTAAAGAAAGGTACATATACAAAAAAACAAATTGCTTTTCGTCATAAGAAAAAAAAGCAATTCATTATAAACTACTAAAGAGGCTGCTGCATGTGTACATTTATTATTATTATTATTCTGTTTATGTAAGACGCAATGTGATGACGATCACTGTCAAATAGATGTATATGTAGAAAAGAAGGGGCGGAAAAGTCATAACAATTATTTATTATACAGTTGGTCAATAAATAACAATAATTTTACGTAGAATTTTGTTTGTTTGTTTGAATCTTTTTCTGTGCAAAAGTGATTTTGTGTTGTTGATGTTAATAATAGAGTGAAATTTATTTTTGATCTCGTTCTAATGTTTAAATTACTCAACAATAGCATGAGAGATGGATCAGAGCAAACAAATGACAAAAATGCAATAGAATTTTACATTCTCGTAGAATATTCTAATAAGTTTTATAGTTTTTTAGCAAAAAATTGAACAATTACACTTGAAGAATAATGTCAAAATCGTTGAGTTTTAATCCCTCTATAAAAAAAAAACGGAGTAAATAATAGAGTTGAGCGAAAATTTGCAAGAGTATATTTTCAAGGCAAAAATCGTTTAATAAACAAAAGTATTTTTTCGAAAGTTACATAATTTTTTTCCCATCGATTTTTCTCGCAGTAAACAATTTTTCTCTTTTCTTGCACAAAAAAAGCTATGTACTCTAGAAATTATATGAGAATAGTAGGGTGACTAATCGCTTTTTTGTATATAGTTATTGGATTCTGATAAATGAAATGATTCGTTTCTCATCAACATATGACATATATTTTTTTTGTGGTTTAATTATTCATTCATTGACAGTATTAAGTAAAAGATGTTTGTCAGAAATTGGATATATCAGAAATTAATAGGTCAAAAAATCACAGACAAATTCATATTTTTCCATCTATTACTTTTTTTTGTGTGGGATTATTTTACTCAGTTACAAATATAGACTATTCTCTTCAATAACTTGATGACATGTGACAACTTGTTTCGTTATCTGGAGAATATATTTATAATTGTTTCTTGGATCTATTGGTCGTCTAGGTTTTCTTTAACTTAGATAGAATCTGCTAATATCAAACACAAGATGAATAATATTTCATAATTATCACTATAAATTGTAACACATTTTATTTGTTTCAAAAAGAAATAATCTCTATAAGAAAAGTTTTGACTCTGGTATTATCATTCTGGATTCTTTTCTACTCATTGACTGAATAATAAACTTTTTTCTTTTTCTTCTTAAATAAATAAAATTGCTGCTACTATATACTCTATCGTAAAAATAAGATCGCAAAATTTGATTTATTATTTTATGTCGTCGTTGTCGTATTATCATCCATTTCCATTTTTACTCTCTTCCATTTGATTATTACATAGTTGTTATTTTTATTCATTTACTATTGTTTAGAACTTACTGCGCTAGTTTTTCGTTCTTTGCTACATGTCTCTCTAATCAAATCTTGATGATTTCTTGCTATTTATAATCACATGGGAGATTTATGGACAGCATTTTAAATTTTTGCAGTATTTTTGGTATAGATAAGTCATTTTTGACAGGCGAAATATAGTATTAAAATAATGCATTAGTGAATGAAACTCTCAACTATCCACTGACATAAAAAAGTTTTAAAAAGTCATTAGCGTTAGTTGATGTTAATCAATTTTTCAGAATAATTTTTTCCATCAACTGTCCATAATCTAGTTAGTTAGCGGCTAGGTTACATAACTCTGCTACCGCTATGTAATTTCTCAACGAGAACATGGCCAGAACTCTGTAATGGTTCAGATCAAAAGAGAAAAGTGTGTTGAGGATATTGAGATCTTCGCACACTCTACATATTCTTTTGTTTAGAAGGTATGGTAAAAATACAAACGACACGATGGCAGAGCTACGTGGCCAAACTGTTAGAGTAATAATGCATACTACAAGAAAAATATATGAAATGAACTTAATTAACTTCGTTTCTATTATTTGGACTTATTTTTAGTTGAATAATTAGAAATCAGAAAAAAAAAATGCTCAAAAGCAGATTCTGATACTATATCAACTGACAAATCTGTCTGAATTCTATTACATGTGTAAAAATGACCAAAATCTTATCGAAAACAAGTAATACTATATACCCAAGGCTTTTTCTTACATTTCAAGTGATGGAGCTGTGTGACTTGGTTGTTAGAATTTGACTGTTCAAGTTCATAGCGTTCAGAAGTGGTAGAGAAAAAATTGAGTCATCATATTCTTTAAAATCTCGTCTGTCTACAAGTGAATAGGGAAAAAAACGAAATTTCATCAGCATATTCACTAGATATCTTGATGTCTCACATGAGTTTTCGAGAGATCTTAGCTGAAGACAATGAGGATTTTCTGAATTGATCTTCTTACAGATTAACATAACTTTTCAAAATAAAATGTCACTCAATTTTATCTAATGTTATTCTACCTTTAGTTTTTGTTTTGCGAAGAGAATGCGTTTCAACATTTTGTACTAAATACATTTTAAACGAAAAAACAACATCTGAAGATTTATATTTGTTGTTAACTAAGTTAAGTAAAATCATCAGATAAAATCAAGTCCACGTACTCAAAGAACAGAAAAACAACGAAGTTATGCGGTGCAAACGGGTCTTTTGTTATAATTTGTTCATCCTTTTTGAATTTGAAAAATAGACGGATATATCGCATGATCATGTTATCTATACATTTCTGACAGACATCATCAACATACTGTCCTAAGTTATTTCTGAGTATATCGATCATTTTAAGAATCAATCAGTGATGCATGCAAACAGACTACTTTTACTATTTTTTGTGTCGTCAGTAAAAGTTAATCTGACATGTATAAATCTAGATAAGTCCTTATGATAGGAACAGTTGTACGGATCAGTTTTTTAAGAAAATTTATGCATTATATGAGATTCTAAATATACAATTAATGCCAATTGGTAACACAGTGACTTTGTGTATTCAACGTACTTAAAATCGTTCAAGTCTACTTCAGACAATATTGAATTGTGTGAATATACAAAAGAAAATGAACCCACATCGATTGTTAGTTGTAAAACAAAATTAAATTGAGCAAAAAAGAGTGAGGTTACAAATGAGTATGTTGAATAACATACACATAAAAGCACAGAAGAAAAATCTGGTTTTTTTCGATGACATATCAATATTTTTAAGTATGATCAAATGAACTATTTATATACATCCTGAGTGAACCACTTAGAAAAGAAGAATACTATGAAAAATAAAAAACAATATTCTACGTGTGCATATGATGTTCTATCTATCGTCGTTTTCTGTTTTTATTAATAATTGATTAGGTGCAAATAGTGGTGGTTGATGTCGCCGCCTAGTTTATGATGAAAAGCTCGAAAAATAATTGAAAGATAAAAGATTATGTATAATAAATATAGAACTTATCACTTAGTGTTGAAAAATTATTAATTTTTTTATATTCTTCTCGTCTAGAATAGCTTTTGTCGGTTTTTGACCGTCTAACTCATGATAATATCATTGTTTAGGTAATGCCAGTAGCATTATTAAAAGAAATTACTCGTACTTGGATATTAGGTTCATTTATATGCGATGCATGGATATTTATCGATTTATTATGTTGTACTGCGTCTATATTACATTTAGTTGCTATTGCATTAGACAGATATTGGGCTATTACCAACATAGATTATGGAACAAAGCGGACACCCACTCGAATTATAATATCAATAACAATTATATGGTGTACATCAATTTTGATATCGAGTGCACATTTATTTCCAATATTTCGAGTTAAAAAAGGGCGACCGTACGATCAATGTCATCTTATTGGAACAATAGCCTATACTATTTTATCAACAATTGGCGCATTTTATATTCCATTGATAGTTATGTGTATTATTTATTGGAAAATTTTTCAAGCAGCTAAATTTCGCATTAGAAAGAAAGCATTTAGTCGTCCACAACCACCACCTGTTCAAACACCAGATATTAGAACAAATAATAATAATAATAATAATAATAATAATGATAATAATAATCACAAATTATCTATACGATTTCACAATAAACAAACAACAATACCAACAGAAAATCATCAGTATTCCGATATTGAAAATGAACAACCATCAACATATTCCTCATCTCACGATCAAGCATCAAACATAGCAACACCCAATTGTCATAACAACAGTAACAAAATATCACATTATCAACAACACGATGGTGATTATCAAGTATCAGCAATACCATCTTCCACTCCGCTAGCTAAAGCATCCTTTCATTTACTAAATCGGAAAAAACGTTCAAAACAAACAATCACAAAAACAACAGCACGCTCTCAACTAAATAACGTACAACAATTTGTAACAACTACATATGATGCTCCTACTTCGCCTACCACAGCACCATCGTCACCATCATTAAGCTTTCATAGTCCTAGTGGTATTCAAGTGTCAACAACAAACCGTCTACCAAATTATTATTCATCCCCTTCACTGTCACAAAAAATTTTTAATACGAACGAGAACAATAACAACGATGAGGAGGATGACAATATTCATCAGATGAACACTCCAATTCAGTCTGTCTCTTCCACACGACGTCTTTTGAAAAAAAGTGATACGAACGATAAACGAAAGGTTTCATTGTGTGAACAAGTATCGTTTAATTTAGCTGAAACTGAATTATTGACACCATCTTTCCACATTCACAGTAATAACATTTCTGAATCCTTAACATCTGTTCTAACAACAGTAAATCCATTGATAGAGAAACCGACACACATTATTGTCGATGAAATACCCGCAAAAAAATTATCAATATCAATGGGCACTCATACAGATGTGATACTACCACATCAGACGAATAATACGGCTACGACGCCAACCAAACCAAAACATCATGTACGAAAAAAAATTGATATTAAACGTGAACGTAAAGCATCAAAAGTATTAGGCGTTGTTATGGGCTGTTTCATTGTATGTTGGTTACCGTTTTTTATTGAAGAACTTGCAATGGGTATATTTCATTTTACAATTAATGAAAAATTCATTAGTGTACTTACATGGCTAGGATATCTTAACAGTCTACTAAATCCAGTAAGAATTTAAAAGTTAGATGAAAGAAAAATATGAAAATTCAGCTTTTTTTCCTCTATTCTAGGTTATTTATACAATATTTAGTCCAGATTTCAGACAAGCATTTGCAAAAATTTTATTTGGCAAATATCGAAAGCGTCGACGTCTCCACTAGTGTTGCATATCAATGTTTCTCATATTTTTGTGCATTACGCTTAAAAATCTAACTAACAGATGGTTAATGTCATAGTAAAAACCCTTTTTACTGGATTGTGAGTTGTGAATCTTAAACATGCGAACTAGCAAAAATAATTAATCTGTTAAAGATAAACGTCTGAAGGCGATTTCCTGTACCCTTTTATTATTCTCGTTGACATTTTTGATGTTAAAAGAATTCAAGAGAGAGTAAGAATGGTTTTCTAGCGGGCGAATTGGTTCATCCTATTTTTTTCGACTTCCCGGTGTAAAATGAAAAATATTTTCTAACAACTAATTACAGTGATACCGTTTTATAAAAACTTGCTGCATACTTATTGAATTTTATTTTTCAAACTGATGTGTTTGTATATATATACTTCTATTCAATTAAATGCTCTTCTTTGTTGTTGTTGTTTTTTCAATTCATCTTTGTTGATACTGATATTAAAAGTAAAACAAGTTGTCATATCACGTAGTAAATTATTTAGTGAGGAAGTAAGTGTGCGTTACATTGTGGGGGCCAAAGCAAAAAGTGTCCTATTCCTCATTTCTTAAAGCTTCTCTATGAATTCTGAAGGAATGAGAAGTTCATAGTCCGGAATTTTTCTGCATTTTTTTATGTAGTATTTGTTACCTTACAGACTCCCTCATTCTAGTGACGAACAGGAAATGATTGTAATGATGACGGAACATCATTTTAAATTGACGGTTAAAAGGAACATCTTTTAGAAAGGTGTAAAACATCTCTTACAATTGCACTCTAAAGCGAAAAAGTTTTCGAAAAAACATTTTTTTTACTGTGATACATTTTATAAGGACAAAAAATGTAGAAAAATAGCGATATATCTGAATAGGAGTAGAAAAACTGATAAATATGACGATATACGCAAACTTTCAACATGTCGTGCACCCCCAGAAATTTCTAATTTTTTCTTAATAGCATAAAGAATCTAGTCTACCAAGATGATACTGATGAACAGCGGCTAGTAGAGCATTTCAGTTGGCTTACAGTTTCTGTTGAAAAAGTACATAGTGTACATAGTAGAGTAGATGACAATATAATGGTTTTTTACGGAATTCAATGTACATATAATGGTTTATCTAAATACATCGTGATGACCAAAACATATCGCAAACGTCGGAACATTTACATCAGAGCTTGGCAAGTCAGGGTAAAATGACAGTTCAAATTGACTTCACTTGATCTGGAGATTTTTTGAAAAGACTTGATTGGTGACTTGGTTTGAAAAATCAAGCCGAGGTATCAACTAAGAAAATCAGGTTTTTGTGGCGAATTTTAGGGTAAAATACATGATTACTATCGTTTTCAATGGATAAGAGACTTCGTTGTTTTGCTTATAACTTTTTAAGGAAAAGACGTACCGACCTGTGACTTTCACCATTCGACAGCCAAGATCTGTACGCATCTTTTCACAAGCAAAAATGATTTTTGAAAAAAATTCAGAGATCGGATTTTGAGCAGATCTTTGGAAAACTAGTTTGAATCTCTTAGAACTCACATAGAAATAGGTGAAATAACCCATTTTTGTCTATATTTGACTAAAATTAAAAAATTAATAACCCAGCCAGGATCCATCCAAATTACGTCACAATATCATGATGTACTCTATTTTACCTACTCTATATGTTTTTTTACTTGAGCATAGTAAAAAAAATTGCTGTACTTCGGAAGATTTCTAGAAACCCTTTTAAGAACAAAAGTATTTTCTGTTGGTTTTTATAGCTTTTGTTGAGCTACATCATATAGAGCAGGCAAAATAGAGTACATCTTGATATTCTGACGTAATTTGAATGGATCTTGGCTGGGTTATTAGTCTTTTAATTTTACTCAAAATACAGGCAAAAATGGATTATTTTACCTAATATAGGTTTTTACTAGGTTTTGGCAAGTGTTTTGACAAACAAATATTGTCACGACATTCAGCGTGGTCGATTACCTATGTTTCCATTTATTTTCGGAATTACCACGCCTAAAGAAATATTGATCCTGGGACTCTCAGGAAATCCGATCCCACGCCTGATAAAAGTGCTCTTCCACCGAAAAACTATGACTTTATAAGTGATTTTAACCATTCTTCAAAAGCAGTTATGAAGACAAAATCGAAGAAAAATTCATTTTTTATCAACACAGTAGGTGAGTACTCAAGACTCCACAGTTGTGCCTTAAAATAGAGAAAGGAATGACGTCTAATGAAATTTGAACATTTTTCTATGAAAAAAGAATTTCAAGTTATGACTAGTAATTTGACTTGACTTGACATGGTAAAATCTGAGACTTGCCTTGAAAGAAAATTTTATGACTCATGACTTGACTCGACTTGACTTGAGAAAATTCTTGTTGATTTTACTTGGAAGGTTATGTTCTAAAAAGATTAGTTCTAAACCCCTTTAAGTTTGAGTAAGTCTATGAGTACTTATGCTTGAGTACATCCATTAGAGCAGTAGTTAGTTATTATTCGTTTCAGCGCACTATACGTTTCCAGCAGTTTTACATTTTAGCCCTAACAAGACGACCATAGCGGATGGTTAAATAGGTATTTCTTTAAAAAAATAAATAAGATATAAAAAGTAAAGATTGAAACACTTGTAATTTTTCCCAGTGGAAATTTAATACAAATTCAAACTGGTGAATTAACCACTCTCTGCAACGATTGGAAAATCGACTGAGTGAAAACGTGATTAGTTAAAATAATCAGAAAGCCCAAGCATCCCTAACAGTTATTAAGATTATCGTTAATCTAGGCTCTTAGAGATAGTGAATATTTATGCATGAAAAAAAGAATTAATTAGTGGAAAATCCTTTACTATTTTATAAAACTGATGAGAAGTGAGTGTAATGTTATAAACATTTCTCAACTTTTTTTGTCATTTTGAGTGTGTGAAATGATATTATATTCGAATAGAAAAGAATTTAAAATTCTATTTCTAGAAGAAAAAGTAGACAATTTAGTGCGTGTTTAAAAAAAGAAAAAGAGAGTCTACATTTATGGAATATAAAATACATACTTCATTTTTCCTCTTTTTGGTAAACTTTGACGGCCGTAGAACAAAATCACATACTTTCGTTGATTTTAACACAAATCTAACAGTCACATGATCATTATTGAGCAAAAATACAAAGAAAAATGCAAAATAGACAATAGTTTTCAACAAAGATTTACGACGTGAAATGAGTTTAATTGAATTCAAATTAAGAAAAATATTTTATTATAATGATATTAGGTTGAGGAAAAAGTTCGTGCGCCGTGTTAAAATAATGATTTTTTATATATATTTTTTTGTGTTTTTGATCTGGTTTTGTGGCTATTATGAAAATTTATTGATTTTTGAAAC